AAAAGGTAGGAAGAGCAAAGAATTTGGTTTTTTAAATTGTTCTTAATTTAGTATTAGTTCCCCTCCCTACCTCCTGCCTATCCCAGTTTCAGCATTTAAGTCCAACCCCCTTGTTAGCTCATCTTCTGATTCCTCTCTCAGCTTACAGTGACCCACATGGTGAAACTGAGTTAAACAGGTTCAAAGATTTATCTATATTTATTATACCACACCATTTTATAGTTACCTTTAACTGTGAAACCTTGCACAGCAGTGAAGAAAAACTGATGAGCCAGAGACTGACAGATATCTGTGTTTCAGCGTTTCCTGTGGCCAGGCACTGACCATGCCAGGCAGTGACCTGGAGACCACCAGGAGAGGCATTGAATCTGCAGGGACTAGAAAGTTGGAGGTAGAGGAGGCTTCCTTAGGCTGAGGCCTGCGTTTGCACAGGACTTGATAGGCAAGAGCAGTCAGGGACCAGAGATTGCAGAAACCTGGTATGGAGAATGGGGGAAGAAACTAAAATAGCAGAGCCTCGAGGCTTTGTTAAACATTGATTTTTAAATACTCTGCTTAGTGAGATACCGTAGGACTTTAAAAAGTGTGAGCTGTCACAGATCTGACAATATAAGGTGTGGCTGGTACCAGTTTATTATTACTGTGTACTATCCAGCTGAAAAATAACAGTCCGTAGCATGCTCATGCCTGGCAAGACTCCCCTGTGTCCTGCTCAAAGTGCTTTCTCTGTACCTAAAAGCTAGGAAGAAACCATATAGATTGGCAAAATCCATATCCCAGAGATTATCAGTTCTGTGTCTTAAGTTTGTCTCTGGAGCTCATGCGTGTTTCATGGGGCTGGTTCCAGGAAGAACTGAAAGCATTGTTGGCTGTAAATAAACCTCCATTCTCTCCATGAAGGCACGCTACCTCTCTGCTGAGCAAATCCTCCTAACTCAAACGGCAGCCCCTCTAGCTTCATGGGTCCATATTGTTTTCACTTCCTTCCTCTGCCACAGCCAGCTTCATTGGTAACTGGGCTTTTTTGCATTCTCTGCAGGGGGGACCCACATGCCAGGCTCTATGATTCTGGGGCCCCTGTCACTGACCTACAGCCATAATTAGTGCATTCTTACAAGTCACAATTAGGAAACCAAATTGGCAGTTTCACTGGAACTGTTCTCCAGCCTTCTGTGGCCACTTTAGTCTCCAATAAAGGCAGGAGAGGGAGGATGTGGGTAGAAGAGGAGTCCTGGCCTCCGTTTGGTTTCTTTGACCAACTCAGCTGTTACATTAGGCTCCTGTTGGAAAAATGTGAATTTGGGTTTTGCTTTTTCTTGTGCCTTAATTGTGATTGAACTAAGAAGCTAGAAAGGTTTACCAGTCTTACTAAGGAAAAAAGGAAAGGAGCTTTTCTTTCCCCAAGTGACACTTCATCTTCCTCATAGACTGGGTGACAGTCCTTCAGCCCCTTATGCCTGAGGGGTGTATACTGCTGCCGCCTTGTCCCAGTACTGTGGGTTTCATGCTTCCTGGCTGACGCAAATGACTGTCTGGTAAACAGAGCTCAAGCTGAGTTCATTATTTTTACCAACTAGAAGCCAGAGGGATGGATCTATACAAGTCAAGACAGGTGTCGCCTGTACATTTCAGAACATGGCTTTGGGAAAGGAAAGAACAGTGGTTTCTTGTTGCTTTCTACTTGGTCTTTATAACTCCCCCCTCCCTTCCCTCTTCCTGTCTGCCTAGAAACATGGTAAGACTTTACAAGAGCAGGTTTGGAACACTGATTTTTACACTACTAGCAATTTTTTAAAAATCTTTTGATTGATTGATTGATCAATTGATTGATTTGGTACAGGGTCTCGCTGCACAGCTCAGCTCATAGTGATCCTCCTGTCTCAGCCTCCTCAGTGCTGTATTACAGAGGTGCATCACCATGCCCGGTTCCTGGGTCCTTGTGCTTGCCAGGCAGGTACTTAGACCACCAAGCTATCTCCCCGGCCCACATTACTGACAATTTAATGATAGAAACCTTTCTTCCATCTCCTTATTTTTTCATGTTTTTTCACATGCTGTGGTTAGCTTCATGATGGCCATTGGAATGGCTTGATTCATTTTCATACTGAGATCCTAGTATCCACGTGGCCTTTAGAAGGATGTCTAAGTCTTTGTTTTTAGTATGACGTAGCTCCTGTCCCAGTTCTCTCTTCTTTGCCATTGGTGGCAGAGTTTGATGGTTGAAAAAGAGGTGGCTTTTGTTGGGTGAAACTTGATTGTTAGATATCAGTGGCTTTGAGAAGCATCCTTGGAGTATTTTCCACTGTCCTCCATGGTCCTCTTGGCCTTGAGCTTTCCTAGGAGTTGTTGAGTCTGAAGCTGTCTCTGTTGCAGCCCCTCACTTCCCACATGCCGGTAGTCACGGAGTGAGGCTGCTGGGGAACAGCGGGCGTCTGAGGAACAGAAACCCTGAGTTGTCCTCAGGAATAGCTCAGTGCAGTGACAGCACCTGGGGCTCAGCTGACTCACACCTAGGTTATTGGAATCCAGCAGAAGAAATACCTTTTCAAATATGACAAGTGTGGCCAGCAGGAGGCAGAGAATCTCACTGGTTTTCCAGACCTTTCCAGCAAAAAATGAGACTAGTTGGCAAATGGAAACCAACTGCCCAGTTTGTGTGCGCGTTTGTGTAGGATTAATTTGGGTGGCATGGGGAGCCAAGCCATAATGCAAAAGACTGATTTTTACCCCATCATATCTTTTCTTCCAGAGACATAATGAAACAACCACCACTAAGCTGGTCAGACCCTTGTGAAATGTAGGAATTACCGACTGTGTACATCCTTTTCCCCTTCTGTCTCCAGGGTCACAAGAGCTGTAAAAAATCTCAAGGAAGTGTCTGACCTCTTACTGTACCCAGAGAGCTCCTGAAGTAGCAATTATTTTTCCCTTTGAAGAGATGCATGTTTGAGAATTCCTGTCATGCTGGGATAGATCCTGGATTAGAATATCAGTAGACCTGAGGTCTCAGCCACTCAGGAGGCTGAAACAGGAGGATCATAAGGTCAAGCCTATAGCTGGGTGTGGTGGTAGACACCTAATCTCAGCACTCATGGGAGAATTGCTGAGTTCAAGCCCAGCCTGAACTAGACAGATAGGTTCAAGGCCACCTGGTCAATTTAGCAAAACTGCTAAATTGCATGCACACACATGTGTGCGTGCACACACACACACACTCCAGTGAATATAGAGCCTCCTTCCATAGCTCTGTGTTTCTGCCCATCAAAGGGACTTGAAGGGTACTGGGCCTTGGAGAACAGTGACTATAGGACCCTTAGACAATTTATAGGTCAGTCTCTAAAGTAACCAGTCACCTGGCTCAGGGGGGAGCAGTGTACACTCAACTAATGCTCTCCCATAATTAACACTCAGAAAGCTGTTGCTTAGAGGCAAAATAGGAGGAAAGTTTACAGTCCCCCGCTTTGTTACTGAGTGGCTCTTTAACACTGAGTTTTTTTAGTGTCACTGCTACAAAGAGATTGTTGTTCCCCTGAGATACTGGCACACTGTAAAACAGTTGATTTATGACTCCAACCTGAACTTGACTAGGCAGCCCTCCAGGCCCGCCTCCCACCCCTTCTCTACCTCAGCCCAGACCAAGCCTTTGCTTTGCCCACCTGATTGGCAGGAAGCGGATGACTGAGAGGGATGAGTTGCTAAGCAGCTTGGTTTCAGCATTGTCCTTGTGGTTTGAATGAATAGCTGCAGTATTCAGCAGAGATGGGGGATTTGGGCCTCAGAATTAGAAGGGACTTTTTGGGGAATGGGGCTAAAGAACTTCTAGTCTGGTTTTGGCATGCGGCCATGGCTGGAAGTGAGTTTGGTAACCCTCCTCACACTTTCCTTCCTGGGATGTAGTTTGATGCAGCATTTCTTCATGTAAGTGGAACCCAAATCTTTGGGGCTGTTTTTCTGTGAAGATCTTGTTGCGGAGTTGTTACTCTTATCTCTTCCCTCACCAAACAAAGAAAAAGGAAATAAGATCCGAGGACTTTCTGTGAACTTGCTTTTATAGTCTTGAGCATTAGTTTGGAGTGGCACTTGAGATTGTTGATCCGAATGGATTTTAGAGAAGTGGGTATATTCTTGCTGTTATACATTTGGAACAAAAGAAAAAGGGTTGTAGAGAGTCAAGAGTCAGGCAGAGGCAGGGGTGTTGGCACACACCTGTAATCTCACACTTGGAAGGCTGAGGCAGGAGAATTACTGCAAGTTTGAGGCCAGCCTGAACTGCAGAGCGAGACACTCTCAAAAAAAAAAAAGAAGATCAGAGAGAGGGCACCCTGAGCTGGGTGCCTTTTCTGTCACTTAGAGGTGTGCTGTATGCATGCTTTGCAGTTCCATGCACTCTCCCTTGATCCTTATGATATTCTCCCCACTTTTGCTTAAACTAAACATTAAAAAACTGGCTCAGTGGGCTGGGGAGATAGCTCAGTAGAATAAGCACTTGCCTGGCAAGCACAAGGGCCTGAGTTCAATCCCCGGGTCCACAAAACAAAAAACCCTGGCTCAAGAGCAGGTAATCTCATTTCGGTTTTGGGAGTCAGATGTTATACAGGGGTCTCCCTTGCTTCCTTAGTGTTGGCAGTTAAGTTGTAGTGCTCTGGAGTACTGGCCAGTCACACTGCCTGGACCCAAGGGAACAGCAAACAAGATACAAGTTACACAGGTGACCATGGCAGGGTCACTGCCACCTGGTCTCCTTGGTGTCAGTTGATACTGGTTTCTGCTGGAGGCCATGGTAGAAGGCTCATGTGAAGCTCTGGTTTCCAGCTGCTGTGATGGAGCAGAAGGGGTAGGAGGCTCTACAGTCCCAGGAGCCCCAAAGTATTGCTCACCATTACTGTGCGAGCAGTGCTTTTCCCTCTTCTTCCATAAGAACTCCAGAGGTCTCAGTGGAGAGAGCAGCTATGGTTCAGGAGCTCAATCTTATCTCTTGTATGCTTCTTTCCTTTTGACAGGATAATACAGAAGTAGAGAAGCGAGACCCCCAGGAGTTAGTGGGTAAGTACCCCTGGGGGCCTCAGAGCCATACTTCGGAGCCTTGCCCTGAGCAGGCTGGCTCTGGGCCACACCATCCTCTGTGCCTCAGGCTTCCTTCTGTTGTGTGTCCTTTCTTCATGCTTCTTGTTAAGACCTTTGGCATTTCTAGGGTGACAGGGTGAGCCCCTAGGGAACAGTTTTTCTTTGAAAATCAGATTCAATGGTGCGTTTTCTTGGACTTTGGTCAGTTGCCAGTGTTGTCATGAGGGAGTTGAAGGCCTCCATCAGTTGGGAACCAATCTCGGCCTTTGCTTCTCCCCCTTGAGCCATAGGCCAGGCTTCTGTCTTTGTTCCCTTCTCCCGCTCCTCTAACATATTCTTGTTGTGCAGCATGTGGAGTCAGCATGTGGCCTCTGTTGGCACTTTTCTTTGTCCCCAGGCAGGAACATGCCTGATAGCTCTGGCTTCTAAGGCCCTTGGTGACTTGGGAGGGGCAGAACCATTTCTGGAAAACCACATACCATTCATCCTTTGCCATTCCCAGCCTGTTAATCCTTTTACAAAGCCCTGTAGCAGCGCTTGCCTGGCAGACACAAGGGCATGAGTTCAAGCCCTGATTTCACCAAAAAAAAAAAAAAAAATCCCTGTAGCCCCTTTAATTTAGCCATAGACTGTGAAACAGCTCCACAAGCGTGACCCAGGGAAAGATCCCTCTTAGTGGGCACAGCCATCCCTCTCAATGGTGGCTGTTATATCACTCTGCTTGCCTATTTCTCTGATCTTCAAAGTGGGTTCCACTTAGCTTTAGTTCTACTTCATAAGAACACCTATAGAGCCTGCTCCCATGTGTCTGTCTTGGCATTCTGGATTTTGTGAACCAGAACCAGAGCCTTAGTCTAGATAGGCTCCACCAACATTCCTCCCACCTCTCCTTTCTCGAAGTAGGAGACTTGCTGGAAATTCTGATTTCCCCCAACTAAAGAGCTAGGAATTCTTCCTTTTGTCTTCTGACAAGGGGTTAGAAACATGACAGTTAGGGCCGGCCAAATAGCTCAGCAGATTAAAGTGTCTGCTTAGGCAGACCCAGGGGCTGGGAGTTCATCCCTGGGCCTGCCATGCTGGCCCCGTCCCTCGGGCACACTGAGATAGGGATTGAGACTGTCAGGTATGGGCGCACACGCCTATAATCCCAGCACTTAGGAGACTAATCAGGAAGATCACTATGAATCTGATCTGATGAGGCCCTGTATACCCTGTCCTAAATACAAAAAAGAAGAAACAAACATGACAACTTCAAGCAGCCTAAATCCTTAACAGGGGGCCAGGGAGATGGCTCAGTGGAGTAAGCACTTCCCTGGCAAGTACAAGGGTCTGAGTTCAGTCCCTGCTTCCACCAAAAATAAAACAAATAAATCCTTTTTTTTAACATTTATTTATTTATGTGTGTGTGTGTGTGTGTGTGTGTGTGTGTGTGGCCAGCTCAGCCCACCAGGGGGCGGGGCTGGCTGGCATGTGGTGCTGGGGGATCGAACCACGGTCCCTGTGCATTGCCAAGTTTGTTTCAAGTAGGTGCTTTAGACCACTGAGCCATCTCGCCAGCCCCAACAAATAAATCCTTAACAGGATTCTACCTCAGTTTCTGGATTCCCTAATGAATGGAATGTGACCATTTCAAGTCCTATGAAAGCCACTGTTTTCCCAAAGTCCAGTGCCTGTACTTTAGGTAGTAACATTAGAAGGCATACAGCAGGTGCCGAGGAGTTGGCTCAGTAGGCCTGAGTTCAACCCCCAGTTCCACCAAAAAAAGAAAGAAAGAAGGAAAAACAAGGCATATAGCAGTTGGCCTCGAGAACAGAGGAAGCCACGCACATGTCTGCCAGGAAGGCAGTGGCCCGATCCTAATAGGGATCTGTGAACAGGAGTCTTGGCCCTTTCTCCCCTCTGTGAAGGGGACCGTGCTGCTTGCTACTGAGGAATGTCACCGCTGGGGGTCAGAGAGCAGCTTGCTGGTGAGTGGACGCAGCGCTGCTCTCCAGTGTTGCTAGCAGCACTGGACAAGGGATGGAACATATGTGGGTGTCAGCCAGCACAGCTCTGACTTCTTCCACAGGCAACTGGGCACTTTTTCTCTCCAATTTTTTTTTTTTTTTTTTCCCTTAATACAAGGTCTCACTGTGTGTAGTCCAGGCTGGCCTCAAACTCATGGTGATCCTCCTGCCTCAGCCTCCCAAGTGGTGGGATTACACCTGTATGCCACCATGCCTGGCCTCTCACCACATTATAATTATACCATGGTATAATTACAGAGTAAGGTTTGCCAATTTTAAGTGTGGCATTTGATTAATTGTGGGTATCTGTAGTTGTGTTAACCCCACCGTGATCATGAGACAATGCTACCATCTCTCTTAACGTTTTTGTTTGTGTTTCACTTGCCTTTGTATGTGGTCTCTTCCCTCAATCACAGGCAGGAAGTAATCTACTCTCCTCATAAAAGTTTTGCCTATTTAGAATTGTATGTAAATCAAACCAGGCATGGTGTCACACGCCTGTAATCCCAGCACCCAAGGCTGAGGCAGGGGGATCAATGGAAGCTTGAGGCCAGCCTGGGCTACAAAGTGAGTTCAAGGCCAGCCAGAACTGCTTAGTAGCAAAAAGACAAAGAAGAAGAAGGAGGAGGAGGGGGAGGAGGAAGAGGAGGGGGAGGGGGAGGGGGGAGGAGGAGGAGGAGGAGGAGGAGGAGGAATTTTATATGAATTGGAATCTGGAAAAAAAAATGAATTGGAATCTGTTGACCCTTTGGGCTTGATCATTCCCTATTGTGCAGTGCATCATGTGAATTATAGGATATCTAGTAGTTGCATTGGTCTTGTTTTTGTTTTTGTTTTTTGTTTTGTGGAGCCAGGGATTGAACTCAGGCCCTTGCGCTTAAAAGGGAAGCACTTATTCTACTGAGCCATCTCCCCAGCCTGCATTTGTCTTTAAAAATGCCAGAACTATTCTCTCTTCCTCTCCCAGATATTATGAGAAAATATTCCTGAGAGGGGAAGAAACATTCCAGTTTAGAACCGCTGATAGAAATGGAATCAGTTTTCCTGTCTGGCTTCCTTTACTTGGCTTAGTACTTTTGAAATTTCTTTCTTTTACTGTTAATGAGTAGTTCATTATAGGGATGCACCACAGTTTTATTCAAGGACACAGACACTTGTTTTTTGAGACAGGGTATTGCTGTGTAATTTACACTGGCCTTGAACTCACTTTGTAGCCAGCCTTGCCTTGAACTCTTCTTTTTTTTTTTTTTTTTTTCCCCCCTGTGGAACCAGGGATTGAACTTAGACCCTTGCACTTGCCAGGCAAGTGCTTATTCTACTGAGCTATCTCCCTGGCCCTGTCGAACTCTTGATGATTCTCCTGCCTCAGCCTCCCAAGTGCTGGAATTATGGGCATGCACCACCATGCCCAGCTAAAGAATGGAGAGGAGAAGGAGCATAGAGAGAAAATAGAGCTTTCTCCATTCTTGCTTTATCACCTCCAGCCACCTTTAGCTCATCCTCTTTTGTGAAAAAATCCAGGCTCCAGGCCTCTTGAGATCGGCATCTACATATTCTGTCACTTCTTTGGGGCTGCAGAGAGGAGAGTATATTGTCTATGTGTTCCACAAAAGAGGAAAAATTGCTGTCTCTAAAAGAAAAAAAAAAAATCTGAGACTGGACGTGGTGGCACAAGCCTGTAATTCCAGCATTTGGGAGGCTGAAAACAGGAGGATCACTACAAGTCCAATCTATGTAGTGAGACCCTGTAGATACCCTGTACTAAATACATTTAAAAAAAATAATTAAAAAACCTAACTTTTAAAGATCCATTTTTCAGTGCCACTTAGGTCATTAGTGTAGTCCATAGCAGCTTCATCCGTGATGGCAAGCCTGTTGGCTCCTCTGCCTGAACTTAACTCATTTGGTTAAGTAGTGTCTCCAGGTTGTCCCCTTGGCATGGGAAGCATATCCATGCACATGGACAGCTCCCCATTTAAAAGAGCAACCAAGAGAGGAGAGAAGCCTGCCTGTACTTGCCTGCAGAACAGTAGCTCCTGACAGAGCCAACAGTGTCCTATGGGGGGCTCCATTGGTGTCCCACCCCTGGAAGGCTGGCACTGTTGTGGCAGTCCAAGTGGGCTCCCCATGACATTCCTGAGCTGGAAACACTCACTGCCTCCTGCTTACAGCCCCTCTGCATCCCGTAGTCATCCATACATATCCCCGACTTACCTGATCTACTCAGGTGCTGCTCCTGCCTAGATTGGATTGCTGCCTGGCAGACATGGATATTTTCTGACGTGGACATGCACAGGTGACTCATGTTTATTGCAGGTTTCTCTAGTCCTCAGTACAGACTCAGGCAGTAGCCTTACTCACAGGCTTCTGAATGTCTCTGAACACATTGCTGTACATATTGTCCAGGAAAATGGTTTGAGCCCTTGGCTACTACTCTCTGTTAAGATCTGTGGAACCAATGTCCCCTCGGTTGGATTCATTGTGGAACTTAGGAAAAAGAATCACTAAGAATTGCTCTTGAAGTTTTTATCCAAAAATAATATACTTGTGTTTTCCAGAATGTGTCCCTTTATCATCAGTTACTAGGAATTCTGTTGTTTCTAGCCCAGTGCTCAGAAGGGGTTTCCCACCTGCTGTCATATTCCCTACCAGTTATACCACGAACAGTAGTGAAGTTTCCATGGCAACATGTCACACCCTGTTTTTCTAAAAGGCTTTCCTGGCAAATGCCAAAGGGCATTCTTTGTCTCCTTGTCACATGTACACATATTCTCTCCAGCCCAGAGAACAAGTTAACCCTCCTTGTTTATGTGCCGGGTGCCTGCCAAGGCCTTCTTGCTTTTGTTGCTGATGCCCATGAAATGTGAAGACTGGCTTTTCCCAGTTGCTTCCACTCTTCAGCAGGCCTCTGCAGCCTATTTGAGCTCAAACCTAGGACTTCTGCCTGTGGTACAGCTGCTGGGAGGAAGGAGGAAGTCAGGATGAGGCTTGAACTCCATCCAGAGCTGGGTGTCACCCTTGCTTGAGGAGTCAGGAGATCATAGGAAGGTGCTCACCAGAAAGAAGCACATAGTCCCCTGGCTGACACCGCTCTTGGGCTGCAGTGGTGACCTTTGATCTGAGTGTTGCTCAAACTGTCCCCTTACTCTCGCTCTGCTCTTCTTAAGGTATAGCCACCAGAATCCACGTACAGTGTGAATCTCCACATGTAGTCCCATTTTAAGACTGCCCCGGGCTTCACCTCCAGCCTCAGCATGTTTACAGTGCAGGCAGCCTGGAGCCATAGCAGTTGAGTGAAGCTTGGCAGGCCTTGTCCCCAGCCCTGCGCAGAACTGTGTGTGTGTCAGAGTAATAGTGAAACTAAGTGCAAAACAAAGCAGCTAAAAAAACATTTAAGTGAAACCAGGTACAGAGGAATACCATTTGTTGTCCTAGCTACTTGGGAAGCTGAGACAAGATTACTTGAGACCAAGAGTTCAGAGCCAGCCTGGGCAACATAGTAAGTCTCCACCTCAAAAAAACAATTGTTAGTCCGGCGTGGTGGTGCGTGCCTGTGATCCCAGCCATGGAGAGGCAGAAACCAGGAGGATCGCTACAACCTGCAAAGTGAGACCCTGAGACCCTGCACAAAAAAAAAAAAAAAAAAAAAAAAGAAAAGAAAAAAAAAAAAACTATTGTTTTTTACATTGAGCTAGTCTTGGAAAGAAAAATCAGAAAGATTGGTAGGCCAGGCAGCCACTCAGCCCCAGAGACTGCTCTAAGCGATGAATTTGCCTGGGCCTGGTGCACAGTAGGTCCCCTGAGTACTTGATGGATATTACTAGTGGTGGTTTGTTCCTTCTTTCCCCTCCTCCTGCCCCACCCTGTTCTGCCCACTGTTTGCTCATTGTATAGTCCTTTCATGAGAGAATGTTTCAAAGAGCACAGACAGAATCTTACAACAAACAGCACATTGTCTGAATGATCCAGAGCGGGACTGTGTGGTCACCAGGGTGGCCAAAGGCTAGAGGGAAGGGAGTGGAGAGAGAGGGCGAGGTTTGGGTGGGCAGAGGCAAATTTCTGAGGGAATTGTCCCTTGGGGGTTGTGGTTCTTCACATCAGAGCCAACCTTTTGTTACAAAGAATGAGGTGGGCCTCTTAAGAGAAAGTTGATTGGTTTATTTTAAAAGACCCTCAGTAGGATTAGGGGTATAGGCCAGTGATAAGGGTGCTTGCTTAGAATGTGCCAGGCCCTAGGTTTTATTCCTAGCACCCCAAAGACAAAACATATAAAAGGACCCTAAAATAATAACCAACAGGTAACTGTTAAGTGTCTTTATATACGAGTAGTTTTGGACGCTCTGGAACCTAAAATCTAGGGAATCCTTAATGTAGCATAGGTAGGTCAGCCCTGGACAAGCAGGGTGGCACTGAGCAGCACTGACTCCCCACATCCTTGAAGAGGTGTTGGGGGACTACCCAGCAGGAGACTGAAGTCCGCTCACACTGTGAACCAGTTGTGTACAGCCCTGGGTTCCCTGACTTCCAATTGGTAGCTTCAGACTGGCTGCAGTAGACTATACACACCTCAGGGATTGACAAAGACATCAATCATAGCTCCTCCTCCACAGCTGCTTATATAAACATTTCCCAGCATATCTCCCAGCATATTCTACTTCAGAGTGAACCACTGGAATCTGGTAGAGCATATTCTTTTTTTTTTTTTTTTTTTTTTTTTTTTTAGAGCATATTCTTTACATCTGTGTCCTCTCCCTGGAATTCACTTCCTCCAGGTTGGAATATCATTGGCTCCTTCTGGTTTTATCTCAACTCAAGTGACATGTTTTCACAGCATTTGTCTCTTCTTAACATTTTATATGCATGTGTTTTTATGTCTGTTTCTGTCACCTATTTTAATCTCATGTACAGAATTGTTCTGTTTTTCTCTAAAGCCTCCTTTTCTGAAAGGGTACGGAACATGTCTCCTGATGAAATCAAGATCCCACCAGAACCTCCTGGCAGATGCTCAAATCACTTACAGGTAAGCAGAAGGCCCCAACACCAGTCATGTCACTTCCAGCCAGATGACCAGCCACTCAGCCCTCGAGTTCAGTATATTCCTTCTTTTTAGATTCTTTTAGAGGTAGAAACCATAGTATTTGAGTAAACAGTTCAATTCACTTGAGGTAGCTCAACAGATCAGATGCCCCAGCAACCTGGCCAAGTCAGCTAAGATAGGAGTTTGTCTCAAGTTGCCGAGCCTCCTATACAAGGCCCTGAAGAGATAACACTGAGAAAAGTAGTTTGTCATTCTCTGCTTCTCTCATCCCTGGTAATTAGGTGTATTACAAACTTCTTGGTGCTTCCTTGGTCCCATCTGGAGAGAAAGATTCAGGCAGGGGACTTCTAGCCCCATCTTGCAGGGAATAGGTACCCTAAATATTTTCCTTCAGGAGAATCTGTGCATTTAATGGCCACTGGGACTTGAGGGAGCTACAGGTAGATCTAAAATTGTGCCACCACCTATCATCCTGGGTAAGACCCCTCTCAGAGGTGGCTCTACCTTGAGATCTTATGTATCTTGGGCCTCTGCCGATCTGATACTAGGCAGCTGTGATGCCATCAGCCAAAGCTAGGCAGGACACACTTCCTGAGGACACCTGTGTCACAAGCCACAGTAGGTGAGCTTGGATTTCAGTCAAGTGGTTCTCCTATTTCCAATCAAAAGCCAGGCCAGGGATCTAAGAGGTGTTTTGGTAAGAAATGAGCCCTAAATCTTTGGCTTTGATCATGGCCCTTTACGACTCCTCCTGTGAAGCATTAGGAAGCCTGTCTTCTACCTTACCACAGTGAGCTCAGTGGTAGAGCACTTGCATGCATGAGGCCCCAGCTTCCATCCTAGGCACCACAGAAGATATTCTAGAAGTTTGGTTTGTGAGGCCAATTTTAAAAAAACTACTTCTGCCTTCCTCCAGAAGAACACAGCCCTTCCCTGTCTCTTGAGATTCAAAGTTCTGCTGTGAACTTATCTTCATGTTAATTTTTTTTTTTTTTTTTTTTTTTTTTGTATTTAGGACAGGGTCTACAGGGTCTCACTACGTAGCTAGGATTTGTAGTGATTTGCCTGTTTTCAGCCTCCCAAGAGCGGGGATTACAGGCCCAAGCCACCATACCCACTCTCAGTTGCAGTGTGCCCCAGGGGCAGGGCTCGGGATCGAACCCCAGCCACTGTACTCTGCCTCAGCAGGTGCTTTAGGGTCACATGGCTTGAGGGGTCTTAGATTCATGCTACAGACCAGAGTAGGGGTAAGTGGGCTTCTGTTGGGCACGCCTTTCTGTTTCTCTTCATAGGACAAGATCCAGAAGCTTTATGAGCGGAAAGTAAAGGAAGGAATGGACATGAACTACATCATCCAAAGGAAGAAGGAATTTCGGAACCCCAGGTGAGTCGCTCATGAGCACTGCAGATAAGTTGAGTTCAGCCAGGGATATAGCTCAGTAGCATAAGCGCCTGCCAAGCAAGTGCAAGGTCCTGAGTTCAATCCTCAGTACCACACCCACACACACACAGAGTTGAGTCCAATTTATGCTGGACAGAGGCCTAAGAATCCCCATGGTGAGGAGGGGGCCATCCATGATCCCACCTAAACCCAAAAGTGCCAACACCCAGGCTTCTCCTTGTACTACATGCCTACTATGCACAGTGAGCTGCATTAGCCAGTCAATTTCACCAGTAAGATCCAGGCTAAGCATGAACCATTTGTGGAGTGGTGGCTAAAAGACATGGGCAAGACCCAGCTGGTTTCTGCCACTTCCTGCTCTAAAGCATACATGTAGAGGCTTCACTCTCCCGCGTGTACAGTGAAGGAGTTGGACTAGACAGTGGCTGTGGTGTACATTCTTCTTCCAACTAAAAAGCTAGCTTTGCCCACAGGTAAGACATTTCAGGGACAGAATAATATCTGGGTTTTAACTCTGTAAGCTACTAACTTACCCAAGGAAGAACACAGTGTGTGATAGCAGGGACCTGCTCTGCCCTTGTGGGCTTGAGTGTGGTAAACTGGAGGCCAGAGATACCTGGATTAGGCTCAGAATGCAGCTGCAGCTGTCCCTTCCTCCACCCCCATCCTAGCCCCAACTACTGTTCCATCTTGCAGGCGGGAGGAGAGCCAAGAGCAGTAAGGTCAGGCCTCCCATCAAGAAGCTTGCTTGGAACAGTTGAGCTGGGCTTAATTGCATCTCTTCGTCTCAGCTCCAGGATCTGATGGTTCTGGGGCTGTGCAAGGGTGGGATCAGTGCCTGCTCACTGCTTGTGCTCTTCTCTTTTCAGCATCTACGAGAAGCTGATCCAGTTCTGTGCCATTGATGAGTTAGGCACCAACTACCCAAAGGTGTGTGCCAAATGCGGAGGACAGAAGGTGATGGGGGCTCCAGGACTCTTTGCTTATTCTGTTGTATCTTGCCTACAGCCACAGCAAGGAACAGGGAGCAGCACTGCTGGTCGTAGACCACAAGCCCTGTGTAGACTTGGTCCTGGGTCCCTGAACAGTTAGAACCGAGTAGGCTCTCTGCCTGTGTCGGCCAGCCACAAGTGTTGCTGAACAAGAGCATCATTACTCCTATGTTCTGTTCATGCTGGGGCTTGGGAGCCAGGCACAGCAGAGCCCCCATGCTGTTAGGAGGGGACCAGGAAGGTTCACGGAACAACTCTGAAAGCCTTAGTCACTGGATCATCTCTACTGATTGCAACTTAATCTTTTCTTTTTTAGGATATGTTTGACCCCCATGGCTGGTCTGAGGATTCCTACTATGAAGCATTAGGTATCTTGTCTTTTGTCTACATGTCCATCTGCTCCTCCACTCATTGGTCCTGTTGTCAGTTTGTCCATCCAGTTAGTCAATGATCCAGACACAATAAATCCATGGATTTCCCTCTACACAGGCCACATTCAAAGGGCTGGTGGGGCCAGGGAGATAACTCAGTAGGATATCCCTAGTTCCACAAAAAAAAAAAAAAAAAAAAAAAAAAAGGCTGGTGGCAGTATTGAACAAGACAGCCCTTATCCCTAATATACGAGACTTAAACATAGTAAAGAAGATAGCTGGTTGAACCAGTAATTCCAACACTGACCAGTATTAAGATACGGTACTGGGGGGCCAGCCAGATAGCCCAGTGGATTAAATTATCTACTTAGACATAGGGACCGGGGTTCAATCCCCAGCATGGCATGCTGGCCCTGCTCCCAAGGTGTGCTGAGATGGCGATTGAGACTGAGCATGATGGCACATGGCCTGTGATCCCAGTGCTTGGGCAGCTGAAAACAGAATCACTACGAGTCCAATCTACGTCGTGAGACCCTGTGGACCCTGTATTGAAGACATTTTTATAAAAAAAAGGATGTGGTGCAATATTAAGAGTTGTGGTGCCAGAGTAAGGGAAGAACTTTTGACATCAGGGCCACATGACCTGCCCAACTTGTCAGAGAGTCCCCAGAAGAGGGTACATGTTTTCTGAGCACAACGTGAAGAACTGGAAGAAATTTCACAGGGTCCAAACCTGGTTGTGTCATGTTGTCTTGTGTTTTGTTATTTTGTTTTGTTTTGAGACAGAGTCTCATTAGGTAGTCCAGACTGGCCTCAAATTTGCAGCAATCCTGCCTTAGTCTCCCAAGTGCTAGGATTGCAGGCATGCACCATCGTATCCAGCTCATCTAAACCTTTTATTTTATTTATTTTTTGGCAGAACTGGGGATTGAACTCAGGCCCTTGTGCTTGCCAGAGAAGCGCTAATTCCACTGAGCCATCTCCCTAGCCCCATCATGTAAACCTTTTAACTCACAAGTCTGAAGACCAGATCCTGACTTGTTCATTTGTTTGTGTTTGTATTTATTATCTTTTTGAGACAGTTTCACAGTGCAATTCGGGCTAGCTTGTGCTTACTTTATAGCTTAGGGCTGACCTTGACCTGACTTGTTGATAGTATGTTTTATTTGGCTCACAAGATTAGTCTCATACCTTGAAGTAGTTAACATTTTAAATAAAATTTCATAATTCCAGATCTCTTAATCAGTAGAAAACTAGTCAGTGCCCACTGACCTTGTAATCGCTGAAACTCAGGAGTGCCTGGCCCTTCCAGACAGGCTGTGCAGCACCCAGGCCCTTGGGTCAAAGGCCGTGTTTTATGGTAACCAAGAGTTAGAACTTCATCTTGCCTATTGCAAAAGGATATTAAGCCCATTTTAGGGCCCTTAGCCCACCCAAACAGACCTGGGGCTGGGCATGAAAGCACATACCTGTAATCCCAGCACTTGGGAGACTGAAGCAGGAAGATCACTTGCATTCAAGGCCAGCCTGAACTGCATAGTGAAACCTGTCTCAAAAAAAAAAAAAAGAGGGGCCGGGGAGATAGCTCAGTGGAATAAGTACTTGCCTGGCAAGCGAAAGGACCTGAGTTCAATCCCTGGTTCCACCAAAAAAACCAGAGGGGACTAGCTTCCCTCTACCAACAGCTACTCTGGGCCCCCTCATAACAGCTTCTCTTACCTCCAGCCAAGGCCCAGAAGATTGAAATGGACAAATTGGAAAAGGCCAAAAAGGAACGAACCAAAGTAAGTGATGGCAGACCTCATGATAAAAAAGGCAGATGTTTAGAGTGCATAGGTCCTGCTGGCTGAGCCCAGGGGTCCCAGGCTCCCCACCCCACTCTACCCCCAAGGCCCTCAGCAAATGTTACCTTCTGATTGCTGTGCCTTTATGACCAGAGTCTCTGAGAGAAAAAGCAGTATCTCCCCGTCCTCTTTCCCTTTTCCTTCCAAACCCCAGGCTTATTGCAGGGGAGTGTCTGCAACACCTGGGGACCAGAGCTGTCCTTCCTCTGTGTGGGCAGGCGGTGTGAGGAGGAGGGCCCTGGCCAACTGTTCCTGGGCATGTGAGGCTGAGTGGCAGATGGGGGATCAGGCATGCATAAGGAGTTGTGATCCTGGGAGAGATCTGAGGTCTGTTGGGAAGGCTTTTTGAAGAGTTGTGAAAACCCCTTTGGCTTTCTGTCAAGACACCTCTCCCTCCCCTGGATGCTTACAGCCAAGGTGATTTTTGATGCTTCCTTTATTTAGTGCCAAACTTTTGTCTCCCTGGAGCAGACGGATGGCACAGGAAGAGGACACACAGTTCTTCAGTGGTCTTATTCTCTCTCTCTCTCTCTCTCTCTCTCTCTCTCTCTCTCTCTCTCTCTCTAGATTGAATTTGTGACAGGCACCAAGAAAGGCACCACAACCAATGCCACAGCCACCACTACTACTACTGCCAGCACAGCTGTTGCAGGTAGAATGCGACTTGTCTCAGTGCAACACTGTTAGGCCTCCTGGCCACACCAAATGGAGGGAGGGTGTCCCAGCTTGTGTGGGGTAAAGGCCTTCTTGGGTCTGGACCTATGCTATGTTCTGTCAGAATCCAAAGTGTGAGGACCAGCCTTGGAGCCTGGAGTGGGCTCCCACACGATGACTGTTGTAGGGGTGCCTGGGCCGGGACCCTTCCATTTCTATTCTGAAGGAAAAGAGGTCTTCTACTTTTAGGTTGGTCTTCAGGCTGACTTACCTCTTACTTTATCTCCAGATGCCCAAAAGAGAAAGAGCAAGTGGGACTCTGCCATCCCAGTGACCACAATAGCACAGCCTACTATCCTCACCACCACAGCCACCCTGCCAGCCGTCGTCACTGTCACCACAAGCGCTAGTGGCTCCAAAACCACTGTCATCTCTGCTGTGGGCACCATCGTAAAGAAGGCCAAACAGTGACCTTGGGCTACTCCAGGACTTGGCAGGACTGTGCAGCCCAGTGACTGCTGCCCACTGGGAGGCACCACTTGATACATTTGAGGACTTGGATGTGCTCCCCAGGTGCCACCTGAGAGGAGCCTCTATGTGGCATTCCAGCCAAAAGAACATTGTAGAAGAGGCGCGGGGTGCTCTGGACAGCATTGACACACCACTTGGGGTACGGCCCATTAAAAGTGCCATGTTCTTACATCCTGGCATCTTGGGTGCGCCGCCCTCTCACTTTTCAGGCAAATGTGAAGCTCAAGTGCCCCCTCTACCTCCTCAGCTGCAGTTATTGCCTCAGGATTGACTATGGAGTGACAGAGCCCTGTAGTGTGGCTCAGAGGTATAGCTCACGAAGTCACCATGATCATTCCCACTATATGCCTCTGGGAAGGGGCAGGTGGCAGCCCAGGGAACGGATGATGCATCTTATTCGTATTGTCTGCTGCCATAATCCTAAAACCAGATCTCCAGTTCCTAGACAAAAACTGAGGCCTCTGCTCACTTGGGTTCAGTTAAGCACTCCCAACGGCTTCTTAGACATGCCTATAGTTTTCAAACTGGGCCTGGTACCAGAAGAGCTAGGGTGAGATCCCCAGCTCACATGGGGAGAGGAGGCAGTGTGGGCACCTAGCCAGGGCTGCCCAGTCCCTCACTATCCAATGCAGGATCCAACTAGTGGGGGAGATGAATCACCTCCTGCTCTGGCCAGGCAGCAGCTCATTGTTTATGTGAAAGCCCCACTCCCGGGAGGGCTTCTGCCACCCCACCCTTCCTCTGTTGTTATCTCTGCCCAGCAGCAGCCCCTGGGCAACACCAGTGGCCACTGGACTCTTGGGCCAAATAGCTTTCCCACCACTGTCAGTCAGTCTGGAGGGGATAGTCTGCTTTTCAAGCCTTTTGCAGCTCCCTTTCCACTACAGCGGAAGGGCTGAGTGTCAGAGAAGGAAGCTGGGCTGTGAAGAGCTCTAGTACTTCCACGGGGCCGGTGAAGACTTGAGAAAGATCATCCAGAAATTGTGCCTGGAACTGTTGCATGACTTGAGTGAGACAGACTGTCCCCAAGGTCCCCTAAATAAAAAGTTTGAGTCTCACTTTCCCCCTTCTTTTCTTGGTGGGACTTTGCAGCCCCTAAGAGAGAGAAACCACCACACACTTATGCCCAAAAAGGTATCTGGAGAGCACCTGCCATGGGCCAGGACACTAGAGGTGGGGAGGTGGTCAGCTCAGTGGTGAAAGTGCAGTTGGCACCTCTGGCTTGTCCCTGTGTTGATAATGAGTTGCAAGGTTGATGAAAATGCTTTTTAAACTACAAAGTGCTCTGCCCGTGTTTCTCATTGGCCTCCAATTTATTTTGGTTTTGAACTGGAAAGAAGCAAATATAGAAATCACAAGAGCCAGGTGTGGTGGCACACACAGTATCCCAGGACACTGGAGGCTGAGGCAGGAGAACTGTTGTAAGTCTGAGACCAGCCTGGGCTACAAAGTGAACTCAAGGCCAGCATGAACTGCATAGAAAGACTGTCACAAAGACCAAAAAAAGAAGGAAGAAAGTGGCAGAATTAGCCATGGTCATGGAAGTTGGTGAGAGCAGGGACATCCCCTCCCCAACTTCGGCATGGTAGGAGTGGTACACTGAGGCAGGCCTTTACCTGCCACCCTTTGCTGTCTCCTGGGGACCTGCAGCCCTGTCACAGCTGTCCAGTTGAAGCAGTAATGACCAAGCAGTGGAGCCTGGGAAGCGAACAGCGAGCCAGGAGCTGAATGCTGCCCTCTTAGCATCTGGCTTGGTGTCTTAATCCCCCTGCGTAATAGTTTACTCCATGTAACATGGCACCTGCCACCTTAGGTCCACTAAGGATGTTTCTGTGGGCATGAAAGCCCTGCCCATTTTGTGTAAGAAAGGTGTCCCATGCATTAGGAACCCAGGTTGTTTCTGACTGACCAAACTGAGCCAGGTAGCCCAGGTAACCCCTATGTTTCCCATAGCTCAGATCTGGGGCCATGGCATTGTGCTCCATCCGGGTCTCACCCTGGAGGCTATGCTCCCCACATTGCGTGGGTCACGTCAGAAGTCCATCTCATGACTTAGCAGCTCAGGGCTTGCCCATCGTGTTGCCCCCCAGTCCTACCACGCTCCTGTGCTTCCTCAGTCTCCCCACACCAACACAAGCCAGCAGTCACCTCCCACCTGCTCGCCACGTCACACAGCCTAGCAGGGTCTGCACTTCATGGCATGTGAGGCCACCTGCCTACTGCCTCTCTGCTCTCCCGCTCTGTCTGCTCCCTGTATTCTATTTGCTTCTTCACCATTCTATACCTTTGCACATGTACCTTCAGTGTGGAGCTTTTTCTTTCTTTCTGTAATAGGGGTTACACTCAGGAGCTACACACTGAGATACGTACCCAACTTTTCTTTTTTTTCTTTGAGACAGGATCTGAGTTGCACATGCTGGGCTCCTCCTGTCTCAGCCTCCCAGAGTGCAACGATTACAGGCACAGGCCACCAGACCTACCTGGGCTCAAATTGTCACAATCTCTTGGACTCCCCCTGGCACTCGTCTGCTCCTTTCTCAGTGCCCTCAGCACTCTCGCCTCTAAGAGAACATTTTACTGCCTTGTGACTTTGGCCCACATGCTGGTGGGTCAAGATCACTAGTGTCTCCTTTTGAGCCAAGACAAGAAACCAAGAAATGCGATACCCCAGATGCTGTCATGAGATAAGTACTCAAGTGATCAGAGGATAGGGATGGAAGGAGAGCTGAGCTTTTCATAACCAGAAGTCATGCTCACTGGGCTCCTGGGGTGACCCACCATGTCCCAGGTCACTGGATCACCCAAGTCTACAGCTTGAATCCCAAGGGCCAGTAGATTGGCCATGTGCTAGACCTACGTGCCAGGAACAGGGCTCATTGTGTGCTTTCTTCATCTTGGTTCTTTGACATGGGATCTCACTTTGTTCCGCAGGCCACCTCCAACCTCCTGGGCTCAAGTGATCTTCTCGCCTCAGCTTCCCAAGTTTCTGAGATTTGTGGCCATGCCCTGCTTTCGCCATGTTGGAAAATTTCTATAGTAAAATATTTAAAGAGTTACTGAGTCATTAAAAAAAAGATCTCCACAGACACATTTGGCATGATCTTTGGGAGAGATTAAATGAAAAGACAGGGCTGACCAAATAGCTCAGCAGATTAAAGCACCTGCAAGCCCATGCAGGGGCCAGAGGTTTGATCCCCAGGCCTGGCATGCCAGCCCCGTCCCCAGGGCTCGCTGAGACAGCAATTGAGACTGGGCATGGTGACACGCCTGTAATCCCAGCTCTTGGGAGGCTGTAAACAGGCAGATCACTATGAGTCTGATCTAGTAGTGAGACCCTGAACACCCTGTAGACCCTTCCCTACAAAATACAAAAAGAAAAAAAAAAAAAGAAAAGGCAAGTTATCAAGCCCTGTCCATTTTGTGTAAGAAAGGGAAAAAATACAGGAATGGAGGAAAACAATACAAGAATAAGATCAAAGAAATGAGGGCTGAGGTTGTAGCTCAGAGGTAGAACTTGTTGTCTCCTAAGTGCAAGGCTCTGGATTCAATTCCCAAACTAAGGCTGTAATGTTAATTTTTTTTTTTTTTTTTATGTATTTAGTATAGGGTCTCACTACGCAGACTGGACTTGTAGTGATTGTCCTGTTTTTCAGCCTCCCAAGAACTAGTGGCTCAGTATGGCCCTGGGGTCGGGGGAGGAAGGGGATGGGATGATGGGGCTGGCATGGTAGGCTGTGGAATGAACCTCCAACCCCTGCATCTGCCTAAACAGACACTTTAATCCACTGAGCTATCTGAACGTGCCCCCCCACCCCACTCCAATGTTAAATTTGAACTAGAAATACCAACATGAACTCACAGTTTAAAATATATATATGGGTTGGGCTGGAGAGATGGCTCAGTGGTCTAAAGCACCTACTTAGAACAAGCTTAGCAAAAGCATCAGGGACCGCGGTTCAATCCCCCAGCGCCACATGCCGGCCAGCCCTGCCCCCTGGTGGGCTGAGCTTCTCTCTCTCTCTCTCTCTCTCTCTCTCTCTCTCTCTCTCTCTCTCTCTCTCTCTCTCTCTCATAAATAAATAAATAAATAAATAAAATTAAAAAAAAAAAATATATATATATATGGGCTGGGGATATAGCCTGGCAAGTACTGCCCGGCAAACAGAAGGTCCCGAGTTTGATTCAGAGAGAGAGACAGACAGAGACAGACAGAGACAGAGAGACAGAGAGAGACACACAGAGACAGACAGACAGAGACAGAGAGACAGGATTGATTTCCTATTTCTGTTGGAAGGAAGTGGAAGCAACCAATGCACATTTCTCACTCAGATCTCAACACACACACGTACGCAAGCGTACACACAGACAGACACACACACATGGACAACAGCTTATAGAAGTGACTAATCTCAAAATCTAAATGAGACTAAGGCAGTTTTTTCCAGAAAGCAGAAAAAACTAGCAAGCGCTTTGATCAAAGGGGCTGTTTAGAGGCTGGGGAGATGGCTCAGTAGAATTAAGGGGAGTGGCTGTTTAGAAGAAATTAAACGAATAAATATCTATCTGAAGTGATTTTTTTGTTTTTGTTTTGTTTTGTTTTGGCGGTCTGGGGATTGAATTCAGGCACTTGCACTTGGCAGGCAAGCGTGGATTCTATTGATCTATCTCCCCGGCCCCCCTTGGAGTGATGTTTGAAAATAGAAAAAAGAAAAAAAATAGAAAAATGTATATTTGCCACCATCATAATTGAATGTACCAGCTTCTTATGAAATTGATGGGTTTTTTTTAATTTTAGGGCAGTGTCTACAGAGTGTTCAGGGTCTCACTACTAGATCAGACCTGTAGTGATCCACCTGTTTACAGCCTCCCAAGAGCTGGGATTACAGGCGTGCCACCATGCCCAGTCTCAATTGCCATCTCAGCAGCCCCCAGGGACAGGGCCAGCACAGTAGGCCTGGGGATCAAACCCCCAGCCCCCTGTGCCTGCTTGCAGGCACTTTAATCCACTGAGCTATTTGGCCAGCCCTAAAATTGATGATTAAATTGATAATTAAATCCCCCTTTGCACACACTGTTAGTGTTAATGCAAAATGGTACAACTGAAATGGAAAACAATATTATAATGGAATAAGCGCTTCCCTGGCAAGCACGAGGACCTGAGTTCAATCC